GAACACGCAAAGCGCACAAGACTTCTTTAGGTACAACTGAGGCAAATTAAAGACGTTGCTTTTTCAGAAGTAAACCTGCCAATAGGTGTTTTCTAAATCACTTGTGCCAGCAGGCTGACCCCATTATGTCAGCTAATCCTGGAAATAGAGAAGGTAATTTTTAATCTTCTCATACAAAACAGTCAATATTTTTTCTTTTTTGTTTTTGACTTGGGGTTTGTTTTTTGGGTTTGTTTTGTTTAGTTTGTTCTGGCACAGCATTGGGCATTTTATATTCCTGTCCATCTTTTGCCCCAGACTAAAACCTTCTACACAACTGAAATACCCAGAAGAGCTCCCAGTACGACTCCTCCTGAGGGACAGAGCAGGCAGGGCATTTTTAAGGACAGTGCTTGTTTTTCACAAAATAAAAAACTGTGTGAAGGGATGGGGGAAAGTGGTTGACAGGCATATGGGTGAGATAATACTGGTTCTCAGGGGATATATCAAGTTCCCCTTGTCTCTGTTCCAGCAGACAACCTCAGCAGCTGTACTATCCCCTCATCACCAACACATCTGCCTGTGTTTCCCGCTTATGTTCACCCACCAGCCAATTACCAGTCCATGAAGCTCCAGTCCTGCTGTGTCCTGATCCTCAGAACACTACACTGAAGCTTTTAACCTCTCCAAACACCTACACAATGCTGTATAATAATATTTAGTACACGGAAAGCTATATTAAAAAGTTACAGACAGAACTGCAAACATCAGATTACCAGACCCTCATACAGTGTTGATGGTCTGCAAGAGATAGATGTACAAGTGAAAAGCAGAGTCATTTTGAGTATGTGAGTCATGTTCAAGTCCTGTTCTCCTCAGAGAACTGTGAGCTGTATCCACTGTTTTTGTACAAACTTGCCATAACAGATTTTTTTTTTAATCCTAAGTTTATGTGGAATTTGTGGAAGAACAGAGTGCAATATGACCCATGTCATTCCAAACACTGGCTAATGTCACATGCAAATAGAATCAACATATTTAAGTATCTAGATTTCTCTTTTCCTCCTTGTTCCCCACAAAACGTTTGAGATTTTCAATTTCTATCTCATAGTTTTTTAATTTTGCTGCTGAGAGTACAAAGACATTCTCATACTGGACTCAACTGAAAAGTACTCACCTTCAGTTTGAAGGGCCATGTATTGCAATTACATGTCCACTGCTTAACACTTTTTCCAAAGCACAAAAATCTTATATTCCCCCTGAATGCTGAAGGTTGACTAGAGCAAGACATTTATAGTAAATGTGGGAAATCAAAGTATAGAACAAGCCAGGGAGGTTACACATTTTGATGCATAAATTTAAACATCCTTAACCATCCTGACTTCTATAATTTGTCTTGTGCAAAATGTCTTCTAAAATATTATAGCAAACCCAGTATGAAAGTCTTAGGCTTTTGTTTATCTCTGCTGATGACTTAGTAACAATTGGTCTAAGCTACTCTAATCTATCACTTGAAGTTTGTGTCATTATTAACTTTCAGTTCCATGCGTCTCTCCTAAATGCAGAGGCAGCGTTTTTCTTAAAGAATACATGGTGTGAGCACACATCCAAATTCATTCTTTCATCCCTTTCAAATAATCCAACACGATGGTTCAAGCAATGGTTGAGACTGAAAGACCATAATGATTTTTTGACTGGCGTACTGAACAGAAGTTAAGACTGAGAATGAAGGAAAATCAAATATGTCAGCTAAATAGAAAGCATTAGAGAGAAGCTATCAGAAGAAAATATAAGGATGGCAATTACTTAATAAAATGTGCCTATATAAGGAGCATGCTTTTGGCACTCAAGTTCCTTTCTGTTCACAATATTTTATAATTTAGTTTTCTGTGGTGCTGTCGAAACTTTGCAAGATGTGAAGCACCTCAAAAGCCACTTGAATTTAGCATTTTATATAAAACTATCCACTATTTACTCTCTGTGTTTAGCAATCTTTGTTAGAAGCCAGGTTTATAAAAGGGTTTATAGGATGCTTGACAAAGTTAAGCATCTTCCTGGCAAAGATGGAGCCAGGGTAGAAAAAAGAGTATATTACACAAATCCGACAAAAATAAGCATATATCAACATTTCTCTGTATCAATTTGCAACAAGAAAATACCACCATAACAGAAGAGCTGGAAATTCTATGAGCAATGGTAAGTTGAAATGAACAATTTCTTGACAGTATCACTGAAACAAAAATTATTTCTAAGTGAAAACCTTCAAGAGGTATTTGAAATAAAGATTGAGTACAGGTAAATAAAAAGCATCTCACAATTTCTTTAAGCATTCACAACCCTTCTGATTCCCAGGTTTGCGTGTGCAGGAGAACATGGCACAGTAACAAAGCCATCAGTGTATTCTTGCTTCTCATACAACCATTCTGAACTAGTCAGAAAACACGTATCAAAAATTGCTCAGCCAGTGACACTGTTGGCAGATTGGGTTAGTGCCCCGTATTTTACAACCCCAGGAGGTTAGCATTTGTTCATTTCTATGGCAATTTATACTAATCAATCACTTCCTGCTCTTTCTTCCCTTACTGCATTTATTTCTATGGCAATTTATACTAATCAATCACTTCCTGCTCTTCCTTCACTGTATTTTTAAAGCCACTAACTAGGATATGCAGCTTTGTAGCATCTCAATGATCGTTTCCTTATCCTCTCTCTGCCATTGTCTTTTTGTGCTGAGACTAATGCTTTTAATTCTACTTTCCACAGCATTTAGGCTATATTGCCTTTTTGAAACCTTTCAGCTCAACTGCTACGCGTATAACAAAGCCCTTCAGATTGCTTTTGGTCGCACTAGTTCGTGTTTTGAGAATACTACAAAGGCATATTCTTCATGGGAGGAGAGCCTTGGAATGAAAACATTTCTCCAAGTGTGAGATGAATGCCTCCAGTTCTTTTGTAAAATTTGCATTGAGGTTTCAGTCTCACATGCAAAGTGGCACCATACTGTCCAACAAACACAGGTTTCTTTTTAAAAAAGTGTGGGCTAGTTTTGGCTCTATTCATAAGTTATTTTTTTTTTAAAAAAAGCATTAAAATACAAGAGCTTTGTTCCTTATGTTTCAGTTCTGATACAAGGAAGTCATGAGCACGAGGATGTTGTACTTCACAAGAAGAGAACTGCTTGATTCACGTAACTTCAGTGGCCTTTTAGTTTCTACAAAACAGCAAAGACCATTTCTTTAAAGGAAGGTGTTTTTTCTCTACAGACATTTACTTCTTGTGTCAGGTATATCGTGTTACACCTGAAGTAATAACATAGTTTTAAACTAGTGCTGATAAACTCATGTGGGATGTGACTTCAAAACGCCAGTGCAATAGGAAATGAGGACAAGGAAGAATTTCACGCATTTTCAAAACACTGGGACATCTATTCAGGCTTGAGGAACGTTTGCAAATCAAACTAAATCCAATGGGATCTGTGATCACTTGCCATTTCTTCAGTTCATTATTTATCACATGTACTTTAGTAGCATCTGGTGGCCATACTCTACAGGGGACTGTATAAACACTGAAGGAAAATGTCATCTCTCCCATAGAACAACTTTTTAATATAACATGAGGTGAATTAACAATATCTCATCAAGGTTTGCTTTAAACGCAAAATTTTCCCAGTTTGGGGTTTAAAAGTTTACGTTCCTTTTCAGCATATTCTTCTTAGTCAAATAACTATTGCATATAGATATGCCTACAACTATCTCCCATCAATAACTTAGAAAGTTTAACTAATAATGAATGTACAGATGTGAACACCAGAATTAAATCAGAAGGACCTAATTCAAGACCATCTACTATTAACCTCATATACCTTGTGATTCTGTAATGCCTCTAAAAAACGTTAATTCATATGCAATTTGCCACTGCAAAATAAATTGAGAAACTACAGACGGATGAAGTAAGAGAGTGGTGCAGGAAAAATTAAGAAGCAAAATACATTTCTGAGGGATGTGAACTGTCCACTTTAGTGAACATGGAGACATTGATAAAGTCTAATATGAAGAATAAAAACTCATTTTTTTATAAGTAAATGAAATGTTAATATTCTAAGTGTGGAAGAGTTCGGGAATCTAGAAAAAAAAGCATCTTAATACCAGATAAGACCGTAAAACTTGGACACTTCCATTTATGTCACATAGCAATTTTCCTTCTGTAAAGACAAAAATAAACAGGCCAAGGTGATCTATCCCTGACCTAATTTTGCATTTTAACCACCAGAAATTTTTATAACCCCAGACTCTAATCTGTCCTAAGGATGTTTCCAGCTTAGAGTTCCTGTTACTGCTTTCCTGAGTTGATTTTGTAGTTGTCTCCTGCCCAAGTTCTTCAAACTTTCTAAGAGCTACACATACTGCCTTCAGCAAGTGATGAGCCTCTTTAAATCCGGAATCAATGACGCACCATGAATAGCCTAATTGACATATCAAAGAAAATTGCTACAGCCATTGGCCAAAATCACATCATGACCCCAGTTCAGGAAAGTGCCTGGTTCATAATAGCTTTTCCCAATTTATTCACCACGTAGTTTGTAGCACCAGATATTCTCTAACGTCCAGACCCAGTTAGCCAAAAAACCTCTTAAGTTTACTGCCAATAACATAAGAAGGAAGGCAGCAGGACATGCTAGCTGACATTAAGAGTTGCCTCTGAATTTGGATTACTCAGGGGATTAATTTAATCTGACATATCCTGGCAGGGTTCGGAGAGTGCCACATTCACATCCAAACCTGCGATAACAAATTAAACACTATCCTCCGTTTCTGAGTCAGGGAGGCAATAAAATCCACTTGAAAATATGCTTGTTTCTGATTTAAAATCAGAGTGTTGGATTTTGCACGGGCTTGTAACTACAACATGGGAATAAATAGACATTCCAATTTAAGCAGACATCTACGCAGCAGGAGACTACTCTGTACACATCTACGAAAAACTTGCATTCATGCACAGCAACAAGTACAAGACTTTCTTACCTGCAGGTTTGCACATGCTGGTGAATCGTTGTGGGTGGGTATTTCATTGTTGGTGGTCTCTGAACCCGTGTTTTTAAATCTGGAAGCTGTTGTAGTTGTGGCTGTAGTGGTCTGTACTGGTAAGATTGGTTGCCACACATTGACATCAGTTCCATTGCCGAAGGCTTGAATTGCATTTTCTATAAAAATAAAGTACAGGCAATTTTCTATTTCTAAACAAACAGCAGACAGCAGAACTGACTTTTTAATTATTATTATTCTTCTGATTCCATTGAAAACGTGTATTTGTAGAAGCTCAACTTTTATGCTGAAAAATGGTTCTTAATTATGAACATGTCAGAAACATGAACTGAGAGTCTCAGGTCACATAATTATCTGGTGCTGCCTCTTCTTTGTAATTTTCACAGTAATTCTTGACAGAAGCTCTAGGACTTACCGTAATCATATTTGTTACAAACCAAAAGCCTCAAAAATTTTCAAGATTTGAAACACAATTTGAATGTTGTGTCCTGATTCAGGCAGGTGATGTTACACAGCAAACTAAAACAGAGAGCAGGCTAAATATTAACTTATTTCTACAGTTTCTTGTAGTAAAACTAATAAGCCTATAACTACAAAATGGTTTAACTATGACAATCTATTCCTTACAGTTTTCAATCAAAATCTGTATAATTAGGTGAAGGAAGCATGCTTAAACTAAAACTTTAGAATATAAAAGTTAAAAAGCTTATCACAGTTTCATGGGATTAAAGAGTGTGTTTATGGCAAGAGTAAATTGGTTGGGTTTTTTTATAAACAAATAGAAAAACAGTTTTTAATCAGGTCTTTGGGGATTCAACATGGATTTAGGGATTTCTTTTTTCAAATTCTTTGTACAAGAAATCAAACAATTTCACTGGGGACTAATATGTGGAAGTTATTAATACTTCTCTTCAGTGGTGTTCCTTGCCTCATAAAATAATTTACATATAATTCTCATCTGAAAAAGATGTATTTTATTCTGGTATTAGTTCTTAGAGCTCCAAGATGTAAAGAAAAGAATTTGTAAAACGCATCACAATCAGCTAGGTTGATGGAAATAAAATGGGAAGAGTGGAATGATATTTTTCTTGATTTTCCCTGAACAAGGCAATATATAAAGTGATATTTTCCTATAATTTCCTAAATTAACAGTAACTTTGTTTCAAAAATATTTTTTAAAAACGTAATGACTGTAAGGAGGTTCTCCAAATGTCTATGTGCTCTAGTAAAGGTCCTTTCAATAATTTTTATTAACTAGCTCATTAATTTATGCACTTCCTCCCACTTCCCAATTCTTTTTACTGTAGTGTAAGGCAGGCATGAATAAATCCTTCGAACAGATAGGTAGATGTACTGAAACCCATTCAGTTCAGTAGGAATTCTGGAGTATGGAAATGAATGTCAGAACACGTTCACAGTAGCTAAAATAAAGCCTTAAGATGGATTTCAGTAAGTTAAGATCAGCCAAACTCTAACTGGTGTGGCGGCAGTTAAGACCACTGCAATATTACCAATAAATTTCCATCTTCCAATAAAAAAGAACAGAAGTACAAACAAGATAATACATGCCCCCAAATTTTAGGGTGGAATCTATTTTATTTGGGACCTATTAATTTTGATTTTTAGCTTTCCTGAAATTGGGCTAACTTCACAGTTCTGATATAAAGTTATACTCTGCAGGACAATGCTCAGATGAAGAAACACTTTGTCTAATATATGTAAAAATAAAACAATGCAATGCTTGCCTTTATCGGGACTAACCATTAGAACACACCGGAATTTTCACCCCCACCTTCTGAAATCAAAACTTCCACTCTGGTTTCAACCTAATGTCTGTTGCAAAAGACTTTTCAAGTCTAGAGTGAAAAATCTAAGCAAGGGCATACAGAGATACAAGAAAGACCACATCTTCTGTAAATACCCCAAATCACTGGTTTATTTTCCAGTTTGAAGGGGACATATACTTTAGCAAAACAGACTAGCAAAAATTTCCTAGCTTTCATCCTTCCATCTTTCGTGGGAAAGTGATTTTTGTTTTGTCTAAAAAAAGTGGGAGGGATTTTATTCTTATCCAGTAAACAAATTACATTTTCTGCAGGCACTGAAAGGCCCATTAATGACAATAACAATTGAAAAAAGAATAATAGGAACTTTTCCCATTATCTGTAAGAGAAAAAACTTTGTATTAAACCAGAGGCACCTTTAATTTCTTAATGAAGAAGACATCTCTTACAGCTAGGATGACTATAATTTGTCTCACAGTAACCTCTAATGGCTTTGATTTATCTTCATTAATGCTTTTATAGTGATAGCAAAAGAAAGGACATGGGATTGCTCTGTCTCTGTGTTCTAAGAGGAATCTGTAACATTCTAGCAATTAATACATTCACAAAGGAATAAAACCCGACACACTACAGTATATATAAATAGTAGCCCCACAGAGTCACAAAACCACAGAACGTTAGGGGTTGGAAGAGACCTCTGGAGATCTTCTAGTCCAAGCCCCCTACCAGAGCAGGTTCACCTAGAGCAGGTTGCACAGGTTGGTGTCCAGGCAAGTTTAGAATGTCTCCATTATGTCTGAAGAAAGTCTGATACTATATTTTTAATTTTTACACATAGTATGAATTGTTTTCTGGTTGTTAAATGATCTTGAATAATTGATTCATTCTTACAAAGCTTAATAAACAGTGTACAAAAGAGAAACTCAAGTCACTCACTTTTTGTACGCAAAGCTCCCCATGTTTTCACAAGAATACTGTCTACTGAGAAACTACCAATGGAGATTTTCAGACTCCATTAAAAAAAGTGACTGAACCCAGCATTAGCTCAAGTATTAGATCTGGATGGGACAGTCTGAATCATCAAGTTCATTTGCTCTTTTTTTACAAAGCAGTGATGTATGCTGTTTTTTATCAGCTGATGGAATATGACTTTTAAGATCAGTAAGAATGTTTTATCCTCCAAACTCCTGCTTGAAGCCTATTTCTCAACTTTAATCTGCTGTTTAAAAAATTTCCAATTTTGAGCCTAAATACATATGGCCAATATCTCCCTTTTTGATCTTGTGCCAACACTGTCCTTTAGGTTAAGGAATCCTCTTCCTTCCCTGGGCTTGCCCCTCTAATGCAATTTCAGAGGATTCTCACATATCCTTTCAACTTCTGTTCTGCTAGGCTAGGAAAGCCAAGCTCTTTTGGTCTCCTCATTTATCTGAAATTAAAACTCTCATGCACACTCCATATCATCCAATTATGCTGCTCCAGGCAGACAGGAAATTTGAAAAGAGAACCTGCCAAAATCGACTTCAGTGAACCATTCTGAAATTTATAATAGTCCCTAATTTTGAAGTGAGTTTGACTGAAAAAAAAAAAAATCAATAATTTAACAAAATCTTTACAATAGGTACCATCCAGACTTCTGCTAAAACCAGGCTTTTGAGATCAAGTAGCCTAGAAAACCTGAAGCCTGGCTATAAAGGGCAAGCACAATCCAATTTATACTTACCTACAGCAAATTCTTCATATCAAAACCTGCATATCTTTTTAAATTATACAGAAACACCTCACGTTTCTAGGCACGGATGCTACCTGACTGTTAGGGCCCAAACATAAATTGTGATGTAAACATATTTCTATACAATATAACTTTGTTATCTGAATTCTTTTCCAAGAGGTTTGTGTGTCTGCAATCTTGGCCACAAACCATAATATCAGGCATATTTCCTTGTTTGTTTAATTTTCACACCTACAGCAGAACCATGCTTATGAAGTGCAGAAAAGATGGCCTTGATGTATCATTGCATACTAAAACAGTAAAGACATCCTAGAAAACATGCTAAAACACATTTAAAGACATTTGATTTTGTACTCACTAAGGCATATATTGTCCTGGAAGAAATTCAGAAATTTCATGCATTCGTCTATGTCGTTACCGCTGTTGCTGCAGTCACACCATGGGGCAACGCTGAGACTATTTGAGTCTATGTAGTTTGGTGTCATCACTGTGCCTATCAACAAAGAGTGAAGTACAGCCTGATGAGCAACCTTTGTACTCTTTCCATACTAAGAAGATAGCAGACAGCATTTGGTGACTCATGTATTCGAACCGGATTCACAAGGCAGATCCATGGCAGGGCTCTAACTTCCTGACTTAACAGTTCCTGGCTCCCCTTGCCCTTCAACACCCAGCCCTGTGCTGTACTTCATGCCCTCAGTTGTTTGAATGCAATCACTTCAGTGACTGTAAAATGACTCACACAGGAGAGACCATTCCTTTCCTCCAAAAAGCTTTATGTTGCATTCCCACAGCAAGCTGCATCAGCAGAACTGGCAGGTCGAAAACGCTTGCACAGGGGAAGGATGGACTGGGAAGAGGTGGGAACCTCTTAAAAAAGCTTTGATGCCAAATCAAACATAATTGCTCCTGTGTCCTTAGAGGTGCATTTTAAAAATCCAATTTTTCTTCCTTGGTTATGATTTTTCTCATTTTTGTTCTAGTTGCAAATAAATGGCTGAAACTAGACATCCAGACCTGAGCTTCCTCCTTGAGTCTGCAGCCAGTCTGAAAAAACCACTTCTGAAACACATGAGCAAGGCGAATGCTAGTCGTGCTGAAAGGAGCCCAAATACATCTTGGAGGAGCCTTAACCTCATGGTGCTCATTAGGGATCTGCCAACAGAGTGGATTCTGGCGACAAACAAAGCAAAAACATAAGCAGCATGCACAGAGCGGTACAGGAGGTTCTTTGCAGGTAATTAATCTTGCTGTGTTACTATTTTTACACTACAGTGATTCCTAAACATTGTCAACAACTTACAGTCGCAGGTTCATTCTAACTCTGTTACAAATTTTTGAGTAAATATACTCATGTTTATATGTCAGCTCAACACTACCAAGAATGAAATGAGAGCAAAGAATGCATTTTGTGTCCTGCAAGATATACAGCCACCGCTTGTCACTCATCTGGATCAGGCAACTGTTATGTGATCGGCATGTATTCAAACAAGTCGTCTCACTGAAGGCATTGTCCTGGCAGGACAGAAATCTCAAGAGTCCCTAAAGACTGAGAAGTTTGAACCTTTATTTTATTTGTCTGACCAAACAGAAAAAATTAAATAAAAGGGGGCAGACTTTTTCAGGCAGCATGCTCCTCACTTGGTAACGCACAGTTCTAGGACAGGCTATATACATCATGAGGAAATGTGATCACATCTCCTCAAAACTGACATCAAAGTAGTCATTAAGAAGATGGACTAGATGAAAGATAAATGTTAGAGACCCAAAGTGTACGTTAGCAGAGAAAATTTGGACCACAGGTCCAGGGTCCAAGAGTCTGCAGCAACACGCAGGAAAGGGCTATCAAGCACCAAGCTAAAAAAAGGCACATTAGAAATAACAGAAATCACAGGATGACGTCAAACAGCCTTTCAGTCACCCGGCAGCGCTGGGAACTGACCAAATCAACATGCAAACTGGTTCATACATGACGTGGGAGACAAAGGAGAACAGACATTAAGGGCTGGCCCAAGAAAGGCAGTAAAGCATGTGAAAATGAATGCAGTCCCACTGCCAAAATCACAAAAAGCATCTTTTGTTTTGAGATAGTCTTAAATTACAATGCAATCCCCTACCTTTATCTACTTCCAGATCTTAACAGATAGTTGCTGTAATAATTGCTTAAATTCTTCATGGGATTACCACATGAACAAATAGCACAGTTCAAAATTTATTAAACAGAGGTAGAGAATTTAGTAAAATAGGCAAATATCATTTGCACCATAATGAAAACTTGACAGTAGACAAATAAGAGGAGGAATGATGTTAAATTAAAATAAAACAAATGAAAATATCTGTCCGTTATCCATTTGATGGTTCAGTACACTATTTCAAACATGTGACGTGATGTGAAAAGAAGTGAGAGAAAATTAAAATGAACGGGATTTTGCAAATGGAAAGAAAACCGTAGGCTTCATAATAACACTAATAAAAAAGGCTAAGTAGTGAATTCTTAGTGAAGAGTTAAAAAAAACAGAAAGGAGGAAATTAAAAAGGTCACTGAGGTAAGACCTTCTTATCACAAACAGGTAATAAGGTAATTAAAATGGGTCAAGACAGGGGCTAAAAGTGTAACGGATACCAAGGTTGATGAACACAGGAAAGACAGGACGAGGAATGTGTATACGCAGCACACAAAGTGTGCATCCAGCAAAAACAGAGTGGCTGAAAGAGCAGCTAGTAGAAAATCAGTCTGTCATTTAAACCTGGGGGCAGATGTGAACCCAAGCGGATTATATGCTTGGTTTCCTGGGGTGGATTTTCTTTTCTCTCTGCAATGTGTGTGTGCCCTCCCCTTCCCCACCCCCGCTAGCTGGCATCTTGGAAATTCTGCTGAAGGACACCAAGGGATCAGAGAAACCATGGTGGCTGGCAGTTAAATAGGACAGGCTTGGTTTTCCATGTTCTACGGATCAACGAGCTCTGTGATGGTCTCAGTAGTAGGCAGTCAGGTCTCCAGGTTTTAGACAAAAGCAGAATAGACCTGAACACAGCCAAGAGGTTGCTCAAATTTGGGTCAATTAAGAAGGAGGAGATGGACGGTCAGTCCAGGAGGAGAGGCATGTCACTGAAGTTCCTTTGGCCCAAAGCAACTCCAGCTTATTCATGCAAACTCTTACGGGATTTCTGGGAATCCCAGGGAAATTAGATGGATTCTACTGAAGACATGGGAAAATGTTTCAAAAACGTGAATGCTAAACCAGATTTTGAAGCCAGCACTTAGAGCAATACCTAACCAATGCAGAAGCGCAGACAGGTCCAGATGGCTTAACTAGGCTGTAACGAAAGCAGTGAATCTCAAATATTTAATAATTTTTCTATTTAATAATTTTTATATTTTTCCTTTATTAAAAAAGCAACAAAAGCTTTTCTATCACTATAGCTACAAGGAGCCTAAAGCAAAGAATTTTCAAAATTCCTGTAAAATATATATAGTTATAAAATTAATATATGTAACACCCTGATGCAAACCTTGAAGCATCCTATGTAGACTGTTCTCAATTCAACTGGTAAAGGAGCTGAGCCTGACCGTATTTCCACTTAAGTCATTCATTTCAGGTAGAACTCCACTAATTTCAGTGAAGTTAACTCTGATTTACACCACTGTATGTGACAGCAGAACCAAATCCACCATACCTTGCCTAGAGAATCCTGAATTTCCTAAACAATCTCTGTGGAGGTGGAATTTTTGCTATATTTAATAAAATGCTTAAATGAAATAATATTTTATTTTAATGAGCAATATTTTATCTTAATTAAAACACTAGGAGATCCTGAAGATCTGATGAATTAATAGATCTGTAACAGCTTCTTACCCATAGTCTATCTATTTCTTCTTCCTGTGTTTTATATATACTAAACAGACATTTGAAAGATTGCACCTCTGATTTCTATCTCAGCATTTCACAAATTTTATGGTCTTCACATCATTCACTTTTTTTTTTTAATGGTCTTCACATAATTCACTTTTAATTTAGCTTGATATCAGAAGCAGGAATTTCTGCTTCAGCACATGCACGTTTTGTTTTGGTAATTTTCTTGGTTTATCAGAATTATTAGGAAGAAGTAAAACATCTCAGAACTCTAGTCAGTTCCCATATTTTCACATGTGTCTAGGGTCTGGCAGGAAGGAAGAAAAATGTTTATTCTTCCCTCTGAAAATTTGATCTCCTTTTTATTTCAGCTCCTTAGGGATCCATTCCACATTTCTGATGTGTGACTGTTTTGCAGTGTGGTCATCCACAGTAGCACAAAAATACCTGCCTATAGGAGCTGGGTCATCCCTGGGGTTAAATTGAAAAATGGATCCAACAAAACTGTCAGCAAAATTCACTAGGTCCAGCAAGAACTTCTTGGCAGCTCTTACCCAGAAGTATCTATTAGTAACAGTTACTCTTTGCCAGCAGCTAGACTTCTTAATCTCATTGACTAGATCAGATTTCAAGGCTATTCAATTCCTTGTTTTAAAGTCAAATGACATTCTGTCATAACTGTTCATATGTTATGCTCTTTGCATACTGTCTTTATCTCTTAAGTCGTAGAAGCATATCCTTTGAAACCATCACATCTTATTTTACCAGTTGCCACATGGACTTACCTCACTTCTTAGCTGCTAGAATAATAGGAACGATAACAATAAGCTAGTGAATATAGCTTTCAGTCATTTTTCAGCAAACCAAACCTATTTTAGAAATACTTTATTTTGGATATTATCTCCAGAGACATTTATTTAACAGCAGGATCTGCTTCAGGGCCTCAGCTGGGACCTTCACAGCCGACAGAAGGGGATATTACTGCATCGCAGCAGGTGCAGGCTGTAAGCTTAAAAACTTCTTATCCGGTGGCCTTTAAAATTTGTTTGTTTCAGAGTTTTGACATTCACTTACTCTTCATTGCTCAACCATGGTATTTCTATAAGTTCACCTTCCTGAGATGATCCCTCTCTTTCAGGAACCGACTACAGTGTGTACATGGAATATGGCTTGCAGAAAGGCATCCTCGTGTCTCTTGACAGTGAGGAAGGTGACAGCAAACAAAATTCATTATATTGGGGAGGGAAGAGGATTTCAGAAGACAACAAATGGTCTCAGTTCACCTCCACTGACAGGCATCTCAGAAAACATTTAGAGTGGACAGAGGGACATCATGGAAAGAATAGCAGCTGGAAGTGAAACAAGGCTGGGTTGATCTATCATTCTGGTAAACTTTTCCCGAAGACTCAACTTTGTGATGACAGCTGCAAAATCAACCAAGCTGCAGTTTCACTTGGTCTTTTTAGCTTCCTACTTCACGGTCCTGTCCAAACTCAACCACCTTAATAAGCTTTACTTTATAGCTTGAATTCATTTTAAATTTAAGCCCCATTCTCTCCTTATCTTCTATCCTTAATTTCCTTGCAACGGACAACTTTACCCCGGGAATCTCAGTAAGGTAAACAGGGCCAATACACTTAGGTGCAGAATTTTGCCTAGTATCATACTGTACGGTATTATCTTCCACGGTTTTTATTTCATGCAGGCCTTCAAAATATAGTTTGAGTGATTTTCTCAGACTGAGCAAGCCCCCACCCTTCCCTGCCTTCTTACCAATAAGCCCCGAGTAAGCGAGAAGACAGTCAGCATAGTTCTCCTTCAGACAGCTACTAACAGACCGTGACTCAGGCTGGCAGTTTGTGAAGAAATCTGCGAGGCGAGATCTGCAACATGAAGAAAAATGCATATCTTTAAAAATCAAGCCTGCAGGCATTCTTACCTTTTACACTTTTTTATTTTTGGACAAGGCTTAATATTCTTTAACTTAAAGGTATATCGGATGCATTTCAGCTGACGAGAGTCTCCTTTTAAGATATATCTCTTTCCAGAATCCATTTCTGAAGTCAGAACCAAAAAAAGTGTAAGAAAACAGTAAAAAGAGACAGAACAACAGGGAAATGCCTGCCCTTTACTAAAAGAAATGCTCTGCATTTTCATGCCAGAAAAAAAAGAGCTGTTTTATCATATGAGCAGTCATTTTGTCTGGATCTGAACTCTAACTGGAATCTGTTATTCTACAGATTCAGAACACAGTTTCTGCTGTCTTACTGATTACACAAAACTGTGTGTTTGTGCTCACAGAGTCGTTTTACTACACGACTTGAGGCAGCACCTGCTTTGGTCCTGCCCTGGGTTTCCAGGGAATGGGCTTGCCCCTGAACTGGGGTAGCAGGCAGATCCAGAGAGCATGGTCTCCATAGCCCGGCAGAGCTGTGGTACTGAGCATCTATTTGTTCTTGTAAAATGTGTATTTATCTGAAGCCTACGATATTGAGCTGAGGCCTGAGAAGAAGGGAAGGTGTGCTGTGCACTGAGTTCTGCTGCTGAGTGGCCATATTGACTTCATCTACCTCAGGTACTGTGTCCACTGCTTACTTGTAGAAAAGTGCTTTAAGACTAGGAGTGAAGCTGTACTGCAGTTAACCATTTACTGCTATGTTGGAAAACAACAAAAAAAAGGCCTAGCAGCCAGGAACTCTTCTGGTTATTTGTGCTTTAGGACCACATAATGCTCCCATTCAGGTCGGCAAAATTTAAGAGGTATCACTGAGGTGGGTCAAGGTCCCACATCCTGCAGTTCCTCTCCTGCCCAGCTTGGTCTGCTCTCCTCAGCTCCACCAGTGCTTTCAACTTAGACTTGTAAACTTGGAGGAGTGACTTTTGTTTATTTATAAAGTGTCATTTAGACCTTTATCTCTGTGGACAAAATAATTTAACCTCCCTACTTCAATCTTGTCCTCTATGAAAAAGGGATAAAAGTGTTCTTTTGCATGTAACAACTCTCAGTGATGTTTCAGGATGAGGTGCTTAATACTTGCAAAGCCCTCTCAAAATCAGAAAAGTATAATCTATGCATTTTCAGCACTGCTCTAGCATTTTGTAGATTTCTAATATAAATGCTCTTTTTTAGTTCTGCAACAAAAACTCTAAAGTTAGCAGAAACTTGTGATTTGCAAGTGATTTACTGTATTTGTTTACATGCTCCAGGGACTAATTATCTTTGTTTGCTTTATTGTTTTACCTATCTCGGAATGGGATTGGATATACATCATTAATTGGCCTGAAAGTAGTGATGGGCAAACTTCAAAAGGTTTACAGGCTTAGCTTGAGAAAGCATCCTATAAATAGACTGTATGCAAACTGCACCTGAATTTATCTGAGCTATTCTTATGACCTCTTTTTAGTTCCATCCCTCTTTAACTCTGACACCAGCAAATCCACGTCTGCCTTCAAACTACAGTAAACTGTAAGCTTTTAACTTTCTCCCTTCCCTTATTTAACTGCTTAACTTTGAGATGGACATCTGTACCCAGCTGCCTTTAACAGCTTTAAAAAGTCAAGCTTTCTAATGATCCTTCAAGATGCTCTGTATGTATACGTAATTTTCTAAATTTCCATAAAATCTCTGCTGGTGAAGGTGGATGGGTTGAGAAGAAATGGATTACAATGTACAGGAAGAGGTAAAGAGCAGCATCACGAAAAAATCTGGGCAAGAAAACCCTGTGGAACTGCAGTGATTCTTCCTCAGGCAATATTTAAGAGAGTGTCTGGGATCCAGCCTTCAGAGCAATTAGGAACAAAGACAAGTGACAGTTTCTAAAGGTTTTACAAATTCTACTAATACCTGGATGAAGTCAGTTTTCGGGCAGAAAAGAGCCTATTACATCTATCTAGCATGAAAAGCCTTTGCCATAAGAGAAAGAGCAGGCCTGCCGTACGTGCAGTATTTTTTCACTTCTAAAATAAACTAGCTCCTCAGATTTAAATTACATTATTTATGTGACCACAAACAAATCTTTTCGGAGATGCAATTATATGATCAGCATTTCGATAATCCTGAAAACATTTCTTGCAATCGTTTCATCATTCCTAAATGTCCAATTCGCCCTTAGATTATTAGGTGCATTGGTCCAGAGATCATTTAGTACATTCCTCTTCTCTAAATGTTTCTAAAGACTGATAACTACGGAATAACACCAGTCATTTACTACCCAGTCTGCTTAAAGAATTTATTTATTGTAAACCCTAGAGGAGGCTAAAAATTGCTCTGCTGATCCCTTTTGCATACAGCTTGATTTCTGAGTCAATTTCTGAAGAATTTTTGTGGTCTTAAAAGGTAATGATCTGACAATGTTGCACATTTAAGTTTTCATAAGCCAAATAGAGTTCAGATAGCTCTGGTCCAGGCGTTACTGGACATCGTCATACACCTCCTCCCTATTGACTCATCCAAGCTTCATACTATCAAAGTTCTCAGTCTCTCCTGAGCTGTTAACTACACCTGATATTTATGTGGATTCACTTCCACTGGAGAGAAAGTTAAGGCCAGAAAATAAAAGCAGAGACAGACCTCCATCTGTCATAAAATAACTCTATTATTTTCAGCACAGATCTACTGATTAACACTCACTGAAGATCTAGCCCCAAACATTTCCAGTAGGTTGGCACTGATGAATCTGTGCTCATCAGCAACACTAAAACAGTGGAACTGCTATTTATTGAGAGACAAATTAGCCTAATTAGGAACCTGTGGTTCCCAGTCGTTTATCCTTAAGTATTGCAAATGGTATTAGGAATTATTTGACTAAGAAAGAAAAAAAAAATAAATCTTCTCTTTGTAGGAAAAAAACTCACAAATTAAATGAGTCCTATCTTAGCTAGCCCTGGAAAATCTCCTCAAAGTAAACTGTGGATCTTCTGGAAAGCTTACTTTAAGTATTTTGTATACCACTAACTGAAAAAAGTAAAAGTAATCTGACTGGCAAATTTAGAGAAAATCTGCTCAAACAGCAAATAGTCTTTTTGAAAAGAAGTGGAAAAATCCCAAACCTGCTATTCTCTAATGCTTTGTATTAGCACCAGTAAAATCATTTGTAACAGTTAAAAATACAAAGAAAACAAAGTTAATTTGTTTTCCTTTTGACAGTGGTTCTTCAAATACTCAGCAGGATAAATCAAAACTTTCAAATTTTTGCCTACAAATAAGCTTTGTTAATAGCAATATTGTGTTTAATCTGCATATAACATTTGAGGCAATTTAATTTCATATTAGCACACCCTGTTGCGTCGGCAACATTGATTAGGTTTTCACTATTTTTTTCTTCTCCAGGTTTTGTAAAAGTTCTTTGATGTTCTGAAGTTACCTTTGATATTTATCAGTTCTCCCTCTTTAAAGTTGGTCAACTCAGCTTCGGCACTGGTGCAGTACTTAAAAGCATGATATAAATGATGAAACTGCAGAAAATTTCTAAAACTGCATTTTTAGTTCAGAGTTGGGGTAAATCAGGGCCTATTGGGAAAGCAACTCTACAAAACAGACATATGAGCCCTTCCCAAGAAGTACCCTTGCACTGGGCTGGCAGGGGGTGCTTTCTCTTCTTTACTCTCTGGCTGTATGCATCTTCACTTGCTGGTACACGCAGGCTGAGGCTGGAGAGAGATAAATCTTCTCCCTCACTCGCTCCTGAGCTAGTGATCTTCAAGACACTGAATCCAGACCTCCTGCTGCCTGCACGCACGAACGCTGTGAAGTCCAAGCAAGTGGTTACAACCTCTTGCCCTGTCAGTGCCCGCAGGGAGCGGTGGCTGCTGTCCCCTCTGCTCCCCTCGGTGATGTTAGGTGAAGGCTGGACACGCTCACTGCCACCTCTCTTTACATCGCTGCGCGTGTTTAGGTACCTATTTATGGCTCGACAGCAGTAACATAAAGAGTACGTAAATGCCAAAGCTGAGTGACTGGGGTGACTACACTAATTAGTCAAAGCTGCTCTAGTGTCTAGACACCATTTGGCAAACACAGTATAGTCACGTAAGGGAAGTGCTTCATCAATATTCAAAACAGAGAAGAAGTTTAAATCTGACACTGAAAAAACGCAGACTAAGTCAATGAATATGTGTCATCATGATAAATGACACCATTATAGGGGGAAAAAAAAAACCAAGTCAAAACACTTCTTCTTTTGTGGGGGTCAAATGCAGTATCCTCCTCCTCTGTGGCTACAAACAGCTCCCGTATAGCTTGGGAGGTGCTATTTATGCTGGGATGCAACAGTGCCAAGAGGGGCTGGCATGTGGTCAAACGAGTGCCTTTGTTGTTGGAGGAGCTTTTTATTTTCTCTTTGTTTCATAAACACACGGTGAGTGGGCAGTGAGAAAATGAGGCAAAGGCTATGTAAGAAACTGTATAAACCACTGAGCTGAAAAAAGCCTCAAAGCAGTTCAATCACAAGAGAGATGACTCTCCGAGCACCAAGTAATATAGCTTTGACCCGTTATCTTTTCATTAGTAGATACTAGAGCTGGATAACATGAATACCTACCTCCATAGTTATGTGCACATACTGTTGAGCACCTGAGAACAACTATAAATTTCGAGGTTTTTTAAATGATCATTTTTACATATATTTATTACACAGCAAATCCACTAACTTGCTTTTAAAGTTAGTTTTGCTTTGGTTGCTACCCTCCTTCTCAAATAAAGACAGAGTCCAGTCCCTCAGGGCACTGTCTCTGGGCCTATGGCCCAGGACCCCATTCCCACCCTCCCAGGCCTCAATCCCTGCCCCAACAATGCTGTAGGACCTGGGTCTCCAACCCCACCTCCAGTCCTGCCCTGCCCCACCCCTGTGCCTCACTGAGCCAGGTCCACCCATGGCCTCATTCCCAGGGGGGTGTCTGATGCTGAGGGCTGCCCCCAGCTCTCCTGCTCCCTGGCTGGGATGGTGGGATGAGCCCTGCCTGTCCCAGGGGGGTCCCAGTGTAGCCCAGGGAGCCCCTGGCCCACGCTGCACCCTGACACATAGCTCAGCATTTGTATCTTTGGGGAAGAGAGAAGGAA